TGGACTAGTCCACCAACTCTAAGCAGTCTCGTAGAAGTCCTTCTCTTGCCTCATACCAACACTGTACTACTTTCTTTATTGGGTCCTCATGCTTCAATTTCTGCTTGTAAGCCGGGAGGAGGAGCACAGCATTCTGATCTGATTTTCCAAAATGCGGACGGGGGATGGAGCGGTAGACATCTTTGATCTTTGTATAGCAATGGTCAAGGATGTTCAGATCTCTGGTGGGACAGGAGAAGGATTGATGGTATTTTGGTAGCACATTCTTGAGGTTGGCCTGATTGAAGTCTCTGGCTACGATGAACAAAACCTCGGGGTATTCTGTCTCAAGACTATCTGTAGTGTTGTATACTTGGTGCACCTTTTTACTTCTGCATGGAGTGGGATGTAGATTGCTGTCAGGAATTGGATCAAAATTCTGGAATTCCCTCCCTAATGGCATTGTAGATTAACCCACACTAGGTGGACTGCAGTGGTTCAAGAAGGCAGCTCACCACCACCTTCTCATGGGCAACTAGGGTCGGGCAATAAATGTTGGCCAGCCAGCAATGCTCATATCCCCCAAATGAATGAATAAAATAAAGGACAGCGGAGGTGAACTTGCATAGTAGGTAGTAGGGAGAGCACTTTAAGATATTCTAGATCCGGGAAGTTGTGACTCCCAGAGTTGCCATATCTGAGCACCAAGAGGTGTTGATTGGGAAGAAAACCCCAGTGCCCCATGCCTCGCCCGAGGATGCCAGGTGGCCCATTCGGTGAGCTGAGAAACCCTCAGTATATAAGGCACAGTCAGGTGTAGCAGGAGGGAGCCATGTCTCCGTAAAAGGGAGCACACAGCAGTCTCTTCATTCCCTTTGGAAAGTGAGTCCAGCTTTAAGTTCATCCATCTTGTTTTCAATGGCTTGGATGTTTGCCAGGAGTATGCTGGGAGGCAGGACTTGAAACCCTGAAGTTTCAGTCTGACCTGAAATCTAGAGCATCTCCCATGCTTCCTGGGTAGGTGGCTGCTCCGAATCAATCCCGGGTGTCGGTGAGAAAAGTCTGCTGTTCCGAGAGGTGTGTGTTCCCGATGGGGTCCTGGGTACCAGTTGTGGCCCTGAGCATTCCAGGGGTTCTTGTGGCCAGTTGGGCCTCCTCCATGTCGGGTCAGCATTGGAAGTTGAACTTGGTTGGTTGTCGAAACTTTAAACCTGAAAGCAGATTTAAGAGAACATTGTTAGTAATTCTGATTGAGTTGAGAATTGAGGTTTAGGAGAGCAGAACAATGATAAGATATGTAAGAATAAGATCTGCTGCAGACAGCTCACAAAATGTCGCTATGCTCTGGCGCCATCTTGAATTCTTGAAATGGTCTCAGGATTAGACCTGGTGTGTTTTTTTTTTAGACTGACTGGTTTTTCCCTGGTGCTTTGAGTGCAAGATTTGTTCACTGAAGACAGGTTTCATACCCTGAGTAAATGATTCCGTTGTTCACACAAAATGGTGTGGAAGTTCAAAGCTGAAGCCATTGCTACACAATGGGGAGAAGGATGGGTTGTTCATGCCTACTCACGATTAAATGGCTCTGTCTTGTTAAGTATCACAAAAGGACACGTGAGTTCTGGACTTGAGTTTTGGGTAAATACCCAGTCTACAGGAAGTGTAAATTTGTAAGTAGTTTTTGCTTTGCAAATGTCTGTGCAAGAGAGGGCATTTCCAGCCAGCATCATTTACATTTTAAGAACTTCTCAGAAGCATGTCCCAACATGAGGTAATCTGACTGGAAATCATGAAAGGTCTGCTGACTCCCAGCAGCCGTGTATGGCAGCATTTTGATTGCTTTTGAAAGTTAATTTTAAAAAGTCAATGTTGACTGAAATCTGCATCGTGAAAGCGAGAATTATGACAACAAGCAGCAAACAACAAAAATTATGACATCCTTTCTGGAAACGATAGTATGCAGGCTCGCCTTTTCAGGCTGCAGTACCTTATGTATTGAAGAGACCCAATGTGGTGATGGTTTTGAAGAATGCCTTTCAGTCTTCAAACATGACCCTCGAGTTTCAGATCTTTCATTGTTTTAATTCCTCGTCCGACCCCTCCAGTCTGATCTCTGTGCCCTTCTCAGAAAATGTCCTCATGCAGTTCAATGGTAGCTTAAGGAATGGTATGTCAACAGGCCTTCAGTCTGAACATTGAGTTCGACAATTTCAGATCTTAGCCATTGTCTAACTTTATTCAAATTGTAGCTGTGAAAACAATTCAGCCATCAATAACAGCTCCTCTGGACTCACTTTTCTTTGTTCCAGAATCACCCCCTACGTTCAATGTTTAGTATCGACAACCTTCCTCAATATTATAAGACCTTGCCATTCTATTCCTCCTCTCTCCCTTCCCTTTCCTTGATTCCATATGTGTTTCAAACTTGTTAATTCACAAAATTCTTCCCCCTCTGATAAAAAGTCATTGAGCTGAAACTCTAATTTTGTTTCTTCCTCCACACCAGCGACCTGACCTGCTGTATGTATTTCTAGAACTTTTCCATTTTCATTCGAGGAGATGTTGGACAACTTACCAAAAACTTGCTGGAAATAATAACATATTCCTTAAAAGTTAAAGGGAGAGAAAGAGTTGGAGAACTTCAGCCAAGAACTTTCAGTGCTTTAAACCTAGGCAAAGGAAGACATAGCTGCAAAATGATCAGCAATAAAGATCTAGGTCATGTTTAAGGGCCTCTTCAGTTTCATTGGCAATGATATACCAATTGTAAAGTAGCAATTCGGATTCTATGTATATCATGAGTACCTGCTTTCCAAATTAAACTGTTTAACACCTGACCCGGGCAGGTTAGTTCACTGCCAGGTGTAAGCCCTCTGAAAATAATCAATCATTGATTGCCAATCAATCATTCATTGATTATAATGGAGTGTTCATTCTGCCCTCACTTTCAGTTTGTGGTCTCTAGCAATGCCTCAATCTCAAAATTAATCAAAAAAGGATTTGCTATTATACTGCTCATACCATGACTTAGGTTGTCCCAAAGAGCTTTACAATCAATGGCATGCTTTCAAAGTGTAGTCACTGTGTATTGTAGGAAGTGTGGCAGCCAATTTACACACATGTTCACATAAATGGCAATATGATGTGTTATTGAATGAATGACAAATATAGGCCAGGACAGGAGAACTCCTCAACTCCACTTTGAAGTATAAATTGCTTATATCCACTGGGGAGACTGGTTGGCACTTTTGTTTAATGTCTCACCTGGCAGGCAGCACTTCTTATGATGTACCATTTCTGGTACAATGGCATATGACAGTACCAATGACAATGATGTAAATGAAGATGTTAGTAGAGAGGAGCATGTAATGGAGCAGGAGAGAAAGACTGTTTGAGGGTGTGTTACAAAGCTGACGAAAGTGAAAGGATCTATGATAAGTACAAATTAGTCATGTTAGGGACTCAGAATTAGCAACCTAGTAAACCAGTGCAGTTTCTCAGAGTGCCAGTGCCCAAGAGAGTGTAGAATCCATGAAGAGACAAGCAGCAGGCACAGCCCAAAGACTGGAATACAACTGCTCAGGGCACGGTTACAGCAGAGTTACCTCAAGACTGCCATTCATTCAGTTCTGCACTGGACATGTAGCTGGGAATTTTAAACTCAGGTCTGGAGTGGGACTTGAACCTGCAAATACAAAGTTGCTGGAAAAGCTCAGCAGGTCTGGCAGCATCTGTGAAGGAAAAAACAGAGTTAATGTTTCAGATCCAGTGACCCTTCTTCAGAACTGATGGTGGTTGGCAAAACATTAGTTTATATGCAAAAAAACCAGGAGGGGGATGGGGTAGGGAGTAACCGATAGGATAGAGCCTAAATAGAGAGATGAGCAGTTGGACAGACAAAGAGTTGATAACGATCAGGCTGCGAGAGTGAATAGTTGTTAATGGGGACTCTTAGTGACGAATAATAGGTCGTGTGTAATGGCAGGCTATGTGGTAACAAGGACTGGTGTATGGGCTAGGGGGCTAGGACATGGGAGAGTTCAGGCCCTAAAATTATTGAACTCGATATTGAATCCGGAAGGCTGTAGGGTCCCCAAGTGGAAAATGAGGCGTTGTTCCTCCAGCTTGCGTTGGGCTTCGCTGGAACACTGCAGCAAGCCAGAGACAGAGATGC